CCGTGTGGCGTGTGTCGGAAGTTCACCACGGATTGAACAAATCTGATTCCGAGTCCGCGTTCATTGCAGCCGGCGGCGAACGTCGGGGGAAATTGTTTTTTTCCCCTAAAATCTTCGAAACGAAGATTTATCGCTTTAACCCTTTGGCTACGGCAGACTTTGATTGGTGTCGCACGTAGCACACGGAAGTTCAATCGGGACCTACACTTGAGAACGGCGAAATTTCTCGTCAGAAAGTACATTGAAATGATCGAAACGCCGAATTTCACTACATTAAACCAATATCATTTATTTATTGGTAATTTTAAGCTTTATTTCATAATATATCTAATGACCTAAGATATGCTACAATTCGAAACATGAGTTCTTCTATTACGTTTTCTACACACTACACACTTGCGTGTTTTTGTGATGAATTTATTACCACATCCTTTTTATTTTAACTGTTTCGTTAAATGAAATTTCATAAATGTAATAACTGTAAAATAATCACGTATAAATCACACGTGACTAACAATCGAAATGTTGAAGATGTAAATGTTGAATTAGAATTCACTTATGTCTGATTCAAATAAAGTTGGCTGCAGTTATTGTCGATAACATTAATATCACTGCCTTTAGTTTAATTCGAGGAATGAACGGCTTTCGTTCCGGGGGACCGAAATAAGTTAACAGTAGCCAAGGGGTTAAAATACGCCCAATAGCGCGTGAATGCTTGCGCGCCGTTTAGTTGCACGAGTAACGACATTAAAAACAAAATTCCGACGAGAGAGATTGATCGATGTATAAACAGTAGAATCTCGCGCAGTGGAATATCGCGTTTCGTTTGTTTTCGAGTGGAAGCTGGAACGAAAAAAAAAGAAAAAAAAAAAAATTCTCGATCGACCTCTCATCGATAGAGGTGTCGGATTCGGCGATCATTTCGCTTCTGTCAGCTCGCAACAGTTCCTGGGTGTTGAGAATTAAGGTCGACGAGGACGACGCCGTGGCCTCGGTGGTAAACCGTCGACGCGCTGATGGAAACTTTTATTGTTATCCGAAAATATCTTGGTCTGCCCGCCGGTGAAACGGATTCAAGGCGGTGCGCTTCTCCGCAGAATGATATTCTGTCGAAACTATCGTTAAATCACTTTCGCTAGTCGCTGTCCGCGATCTGTCAGTGTCTGTGTGCTTCTGTCAAAGATTTGATCCCTTTTTTTTTCACCGTGTGAACAACCAAGTTTTCGACAGTTCCATTTCCAGAGTTCCAGAGGATTGTGCGAGTTTTTGCAACACCTACGGTCCTGACCGGATAATCGCCGCTTTATTTAATCGAGGAACATTTTATTTGGAAACCTAAACCGCAAATACGCCGACATCGCGTCGCGATATCGAATTGTTTGATCAACAATTCCAATTTCGTTTCAACTTGTTCGAAAATAATAACGGCCCGCCAGTAAATTAAATATTGTCGGTGTATACAGACGTCGCGTCGCGATATTTGTAAATTTCGTTCTTTTTTTCCCCCTCCCCTCTCGCCGTGCCCGTGTATCCCTCCGTTTCGCTCCGGTGGATTCCACCGGCGAATCGTTAACAATTCACAAACAAACGAACTAAAATATTAACTTTCGCAACAGGTAAATACTTGACGCGTTGCTTGTATAATGTTAATTTCCGAAAAGCTCCCGGGGAAAAAAAAAAGAAAAAAAAAAACGAAAGAGAAATTTCCGTTCTGCCGTATAGATCGCGTCAAAGCGCCGAGCGCCGAGCGCCGCCGCCCAACCAATTTATGCCCCGCGTTCTCCCGCGTTCATTCGTTTCCATTTCATCCAATCGAATATTCCATGTCCTTTGCGTGGAAATACAATTAATAAATGTAATGGAAATATGGGTGGCCGGGTCGCCACCCGACATCGGGAAATACTTATTCATAAGGGAAAGTTTGAACAGCGCTTAAGCCGGGTTCGATATAACAGCATTTGTACAAGTTCAAGCTGGTATTAAGGGGTTTAATGTATCGATAAGAGAGAAGCCTCCGACGCGGCCGGGAGCGTTACCTCGATCGTTGCTCAACAATTGAAGGCTTAAGCGAAAAAGCGGCACGCGTCGCATTTGTATTAACGTACCGGTTTCAATTCGTCCATTCCGTATATAAAATATCGCGCACGCGCGTTGAAATTCGAAGAGATGAAAAAGACGCTTGGTCTTGAAGATTCCTAATAGATTTTGTATTTCATCACGGTAGAACCGTAAAATTCACTTATATGAGCCGGTTAATATCGAGACTCGTAATTGATCGACGTTTACTATCCATTGTTATCCAAATAAATAAGAGTTGGATACGAAGGAAGTTAGCGAGTGAAAAACTTTCGATTTTTCGAGTTAATCTCGATCTCGAATTCTTTTTTGCATTTTATTTTGTATAATAATTCTCTTGAAAAATGGCAGACAAGTTTCTTAATCGTTTAATTCATTCTCTGCGAATGCGCGCGTCCTAACAGCGACTTTATGGTTCCGAATTACGTTTCACTAGCATTTGATTTATCATAATTGTAGCATCTGTGTGAATCTAAATAGTCAGATAACAAAATTAATATAATTAACTGTTTAATGTTAACATTATTCGAAATATAAACACCCACGCGTTACATCCACGCGTCCAGAATCGTAAAGTCGCTGTCAGAACGCACGCGTGTGCAATGTTAAACGACTAGGAAACTTTTTTGTCATTTTTCATGAGTAGTACACAGTGCAAGAAAAACGAATCTTTTGACTTTCATTCAATTCAAATTCAATTTTGCGGCAGCATTTTTCTTCATCTGAATCTCTATCAAATCGATTGTGTAGAATTCATCTGTGACAACCACGGACAAACTTTCCTTTCCACCCTGTGCATTTCAAAGGTGGTTGTCACACCAAAACACGTAACGATTGTTATTCGAATTAACCGTTCAAGCGTTATTTCAATTAATCGAAACTTACAGCGCCGCGACCCTTCTCTCCGTCAAGTTCAGCTCAATTTCCACGAGACTTTTGAATTTCAATTTTGAAACGCCGGACACGAATGTAACACGAAAGTTCTCACGGTTGGCACGCGGGGCGCGTGGCAGGGTTTTAATTTCAAATTTCCACCCTTAGCCGGGCCGGCGTCCGTATATAAATGATGCAATTGCCTTCGGTGTAGACGGGTGAAAATAAATTACGCTCCCCCGGCAGATTCCAACGCGTACAGGTCGGCCGGTGCAAATTTATTTGCGCGAAGAAGCACGAAAGAGTGAGCGCACCGTAGCTTCCCTCGTTTCGAAAGGCCCGGCAATAAAGGGATCACTCGGGTCAGGTTAAGGCGATTTATTGTCTAGGTAAGTTTGCCATATTCGATAAAAAAGCCACCGCGTATTTGCCGCGCTACGCGCTATAAAGCGAAGAGAGAGGCGGCCGCGGCGCGGAACGGCTACGGGATACGAACAGATAAAGTCAATAATTTTTCGCGTTTGACGCGCGGCTTATTGCTCGCCGCTCGGAGAGAGGAAGGCCAAGGACCCCGCAGCCACCATTTGTCAACGATATTTTACGGTTGGTTACTGACATTTTGAGTCCTCGTGCCCCCCCTGCGTTTTCTTCGACTCGACGAAGGCCATTTCGTGATCGAGGTACGCGTTTCGAGATTCGAGTACCAAGAAAGATTTCCCAGTGATTTATAGGAGCGTTTACCTTTGCAATGATCAAAGCACGGAGTGGCTCGACTACCTCTTGGTGCTATTTCTTTATCTATTTCGAGGTATAAGCAAAGACGTCGACGTGTCGCAGTAAGGTATGACACATGCTTTCCTGCGTGACGCCATGGAAACCGTGAATCGTGTCGCGTGACATCTCGATGAATTCAATTTTCCACGAAAATTCCTACAGTCAACGTCGATACACGCAGCGATGTACGTACCACTCTACGTTACGCTCTCGTTCCTTTTTCTCTTCCTGCCGAATTCACACCGTGCAGGAAGAATTTATCACGCGGGCGAGAATTTTAACAAGTCCCCTTTCATCGAGCAATAAATCTCCGATGACCATCGATCAAAGGCAAGTCAATCAACCAGTAACTCGGCTACCCGAGGTCGCGTAGAACAAACAGCAGAGGCAAAAGATTTATGACGCCGCGTTTCGATCGTAGTCGACTGAAGTTGAAAGATGCCGTCACATCGCGACACGAAACAGATAATGAAAACGAGGAGCATGAAGGTAAATTTGAAAAACGTTTCGTCTTCCCAAACGGGGAAGATCTTCTTCTCGGCCGTACGTTGAATACGATCTCGCCATCTGGCGTCACGCGGTCGTTGAAAAAAACGTGTGCCGCTTAGAAAAAAAATCCAATTCTACTTTATTCACCGCTGGAGAGAGACACGCGGCCGAGTACCAACAGTCGAGCAGAAACGTGCCCGATCAATATACCGGAGTTTACTCTCGGTCGGTGGCGAGCCTGGCCAAGGGTGGTTTCGCGGAAGACGCATCGTCCGACCACTGTCGGAAGCACTCCCTGCACGCTTGAATCGTATTTCTTCTCGGATACGTGAGAATCTGGCAGATATCGCCAGCGGCGACGTGACGATTGCGATACCGCAGCACCGGCTCAATGAAACTGTCGTAAATATAAATGTTGCAACAATAAATAACATTCTTCTCTTGTGTCAACTTGTGCTCGCATAAAATACGTTTAGAAAATACCAGGCAAAAGTCAGGGAGAAACGAATCGTTGACGAATTGAGAATAGTTTGTACATCGCTCTACCGAGATGTCTTAAAGAAAATTTCGACGAGATCGTCTGAAAAAAAAAACCCGTTTGTTATTGAATTTCCGCGTAATTCGTCGAGGTAGAATGATAAGAGGCGTGAAGCTAGAGCAACACGGTGTGTTTCGCGTGCAACGACGGAGGAACGACGACGCGTCGCGTGAGGAGAGCCAACGCAGGCTCGGCTCGTGGCTGAAAATAGCCGAAGAGAGCGGCTAGCTCGCTCGCTTGCTCGCTCTGCTCGCTTCATTCCGCTCGGCTCCGTGCTCCGGCAGAAGCTCGCTTGAGCCTCGATACGAATATCGTCGGTGGGGCCCGACCGAGAAAACGAAGGATCCAGCCATCCTGAATCGCACGAGCGAGCTACTCTTCGGCTCGATCCAGGTCGATCCGGAAATCGACTTCAAAGAAAAGTGAGTGTCACCGTTTCTCTTTCTCTCTCTCCCTCTCTCTCTCTATTTCTGTGTGTGTGTGTGTGTGTGTGCAATACAGTGCGTATACATAAATGGAAGTTTCTTCGTAATTTTCATTTTCGATGCTCGAGGTGAAATTTCTCGAGGCCAGTTGCTTTCTTCAGACCGATTCGTCTGTTTCGCGATACAGTGAAGTGGATGAAGAGAAAAGAAAGGAAAACAAGAAAAAAAAAAAGAAAAAAGGAAAAGGAGGGTGCAGTTTGAAGGTAACGCGGCGTGGGTTACCAGTTGCATTGCGGACACTCGGGAGACCGATCGACCTCGATGTATTTGCATACGGTACGCATCGAGGAGTGTGTGTGCGTGGCTGCGTACGGGTTGGGCGCGAATACGTGCCCGCAGGGAGCGTTCGTTCTCGAAAGTTTGTACTTCTTTTTAATTGCAGACACGTACGAGGTCGATTGCTCGATCGAAAAGATGGATCGCGCATAGAGACACTGGTATATTTATTTCGGATGCACGCGGCGATGCTCGATCCTTCACGTCGTTAGTGTATATTCTGGCAACGAATTTCCAAAATTGCGAAACACTCGCAGCGAGACGAACACGGTTCCGTTTCCAATGGTACAATTTTATATATATATATATATTCTCGCCTTTTCGTGAGAATTGTTCGAGGGAAATATTTAGCACGCGGACAATACTTTCTGTTGATTCGTTGCCAGCTCGCGCGGCAACGCGTTGGTGATTTATCGACGGTCGTACGTCCGAATCCTCGTACGATCTCTGCGAGAAATCGCGGCTAGGACATCCAAGCCGTGATATCCTTAACCTTCGATTAACGCGTTACCATTTCTAATTCGAGTGCAGGCACGGCCAAGCGCACACCGTGCTGTGGTAAATGCATCTATTTCTGCTCGGTTGCTGGAAATAGACGCGGGATTGAAATGGGTCCGATGCTCGATGCGGTGCGTCTGCTTGCGTCAACGTCGTCGATCGTTGTCTTGTCATCGTCCACGGTGTGTGGTGTTTAATTAGCTAATTTCCTTCGCGATCGACGTTCGTTCGCAGTCCCGCAGTCAATATCGTATCCCCGGGGAACGGAAAGCTGCTTCGAAACTTGATCGAAAGACTCGCACGAAATTGGATTTATTCGCGGGTTAAATTCAATTATCGGATCACTCGTGACCACGTGTGTTTTCGTCTACCTCGGCTGACAAATTCGACGCAGAATTTCAGAATGAAACGCAACATTTGGGGGAGAGGCATTTGTTGCCGAAGTGAGTCAGATCGTTGTGCGTCTTAAACTGCACCGGAAGTAACCGCGAGGGGGATGGTTGTTCTAAACTATTTTTACTCAAACTCGTCACCCGTTGAATTTACATCTAAATATACAGGCTCCCGCGCGCTGGAACCTTCCTCGGTTTAATTGACGCACGTTTACGCATCATCACGGCAATTACGTAAATAGTAAAACCGATAATGTCGTTAACAACAATGGTACCGACGCTGTTGCAATTAACGCCGCCATTAGCAGTGATCGCCTATGAAGATCGCCTCGTGGTGATTAATTACGCGCTGACGATTCATTGGAGAAATAATCGACCGAGCGATCTTCAATGTATCAAGATATTTGGATTCGTTAGATAATGGACGTATGTTCTAGTAGAAAAATGCACGAAGCAGAAATAATATTCCAGGTCACGATTTCTTTTTTTTTCTCTCTCTCTCTCTCTCTCTGTTCAATGAAACGCGCGGAAATTCAGTCAAACTTTTTTTTCCCCCCTCAAACCAACGCGCGTAGAAAGTGATATAATTTCCCGTGTCTCTGGCTTCCTTCTCAGTAACGCGATATCAAATTAACGTTTCCCGGAGAACGCCAAAGCAGTGGTCGTTCTTACATCCACTCGATCGGTAACAAACCTAGCCTAGAATGTTCCCACAAATTTCTAACAAATTTCGAAAACGCTCGGCGGTCTGTTTAAACTCGCCAAGACTACGAAACTCGATGAACGTTGCTCATCGAGATTCGAGGAATCCCCAAGCTGCTCACCCTCCTTTTTAAGCCACTCGAATCACCGAAATGGGCAGATTGCCCCGATAAAGAATAAACAGCGACAAGGGGAGGCGTGCGCGTCTCCTGTTGTGTTGTGTTCGTTACGACGGAATTTCGAGCATGCGGAATTTGATTGAAAGAAACGGGCGCTTGCGCAGGGGTTGCCGAGGTTCGCGCGAGCCATACTCTCCGGCCAGTAGTTGCTGATCATTGGTGCACCATCGGAGGTTAGGACGTCGTCGACACCGTTCTGCTGGTGTTGGTCGTCGTCGTCGTCGCCGTCGTCGTGGTCGTCGTCGTCGTCGTCGTCGTTGTCGTCGGCACAGCGCGTAAACGTTGTTCTACCGGCAGACGTGCGTGTGCCACCGGGAAGGCGAACCATGTCGAATCGTGATCGTGTGTGACCGTTCGTCCGCGCCCTATCGACTACCTTGGCTCGGGGGACGGTGGACGTTCGTCGCTGAGAATCAGGCCAGACCAACAACCACCGGGAGGAGAGTAACGCGAGGCAGAGGTGAACCGAACTCGACGTCATCCTGCGGCGTGAAAACGTACCGACGGGATGGCTGACAGCGAGGGTGGCTCCGAGCAGGATGACGTATCCTTCCTTCGCACGGTAAGTCACGCTTTTTCATTCATTCGTGTACCTTTTTTTTTTTTTTCTCTTCAAAATTGACAGCGTCTGGACATTTGTTTCTTAGCTACAATTCGTTGCTACGATTGCAAAGGAACGTTTAAACGTTGAATCGTCAGATTGAAGTTGTGCGTTATATTTTGATGAGTGTGCAAACGCTGATCGTTCGAGACAACGAGAGATCGTCGTTCGATAAGTGTGTTCGAACGAGACGATAAAATCTCGCGTAAAAGTCGCGCGCTGAACGAGCTTCGAACGGCCCGAGTTATCACGTGGGTGACGGTGGAGAAGCGCGCGACGTTATTGAAATGTTATTGAAGGATCGGTCTCGGTGTAATGAAAGAACGCGGCGGCATAAAAGGTCGGTTCAGGCTTGAACGCGTTCGTATAGGAAACGAGCAAGCGACGTCGTGTAAATCCGCTTAGCAAGCGTTTAAAGTTAGCGTTTGCGGCGTGCGCGCGGTGTTTACGGTGCTGCTGTTGCCGCCTCTGTGCGCTCGCCGCATAAAGCCGTAGTCTTGCATAAAATCGCGATTTTCCGATGCAAAGGACGAGCACAAGGGGGAGGAATTCAATGAATCGTGGAAGCACTTAAAGTTCTCGCACCGAACGACCTTGACCTCGTTCGGCCCGCAAGGATCAAGCAGTAACATAGTGACCGAGAGGGTAGCTGCAGCCTTGAGCTTCCGTAAGCTGCACGCGCTCGATGCTCGACTCTTTAATACCCGCCTGTAGTAAAAATACATCTCTCTCTCTCTCTCTCTTTCTCTCCCTCTGATGCACGCGGTCCTCTTATCGGGGAACATCGCCGATCAACATCATTGCCACGCGTGTGTCCATCGATTATTATGTTTTTTTTTTTTTCTCTTCCTCCTCGTTTCTTACCTTCCTCTGTTATCTGCCTTCTCCATTTTCTCCAATAATCGTCCCGTTATTTTTTTTCCCACGTATAAAAAACACGTATATTTGCTTCATAAGGTACAAAATGTGTTTCAGTGCGAATCGATATACACACGGGACGTCATCTATTTCTCTTTTTTCTTCTTTTTTTCTTTTTCTCGTTCTTCGAACACGGATGCCACGATTTGAATTTCGACACGGTGCCTCGACTTTTACGACGATAACCACTCTCGCAGATTCGTTCCGCGTTCTTCGGTTACTCGGGATTCCAAACGTTTCACGTTCCCAACGATTTCGATTCTCGTCAACTTTGTTTCACGCGAGAATTTCGACGCTTTCCTCCATCGGTTCTTTCCAGGCCATCGTCACAGTAAACCAGACTCTTCTATTTCGAGAGACCTATCTCCTCGTGGAGTATCTTCGACGTTTCGCCCTCTCGGCGAGCTCTATGTATTTTGCCTTCGAACTGTCCGACATGGCACTCCATTGCTTACCAGCCTCCCGAGCCACTATCGTCACGCGCTTCTCTGGCGATTTAAAGTACATTTCCAGGTAAAAAATGATGAAAGGATTGGTCGACACGATTTTCCTTCTGCGTGCAGACGGCCTGCAGATGCATCTGGATCTTCTTCTCCTTCTTCGACGCATTCGCGGTTCTCTCTCCCCTCTGGCCACCCTTTCGACCACTGGTTTCTCTATGCCTGGATTCGGTTCTCCGTGGACTTCCTGTTGTGCTACGTTCCTATCGAGAGAACGAACAACGTTGAAACCCCTGTCTCTAATATCCGTCCTTCATAGCTTACGAACTGTTTGCGAGACGTGATACCCTGAAGAGTCAACGCAAGCAACGTAGTGTATGTACACTGTGAAACTTCCATCATCTAATAATAGTCATAGAAAGAGAGATATACTTTTCTTCTGACACGTCTGACACCGACACGTCTCGAATTTGGCGACATTCACTCGCGAAGAGCTTAAAATTTCTTGTGGGCGTGATAGAGAGTGGAGATTCATAAAATGTCTCTCTGTAGATTTCGAAAATCGAGAGCTGTTTAAGCAACATTGGTGAGAAAATCGTAGAGTCGTCGTTCGATAATCCTTCGTATCGCTATCTCTAAAAGTTATCTCAAAGATCCACCAACTCGTTAAACAGTACTGAGAATTGCACTGAATTCGAAACATTGTCAAGAAGAATCGTCCGGAAGAGCTATTTCGTGGCCCAGAAGTTCTACGGAGGAATCTTTGAAGAACCGCGTACCACGTAAAAGCAAAGTCGTTCAAGTTTCAAGGTCTCCGGGGGAATTATCATATCACGAAGAACTGTCTCTTTCGAAACACAGGCCGCAATAAAATTACCTTTCTTTGTCGTGCCTCCTTCAGCTGCGTCGAGACGTTCGATTAAACGAATCGTAAAAGGGGGAAAAGTCGACGAAGAAAATTACGCGTTAATGAAATTACACGACCCGTTCAAAGTGTTGGGTAACTGTAAGTGGCTTTCGTGACTGCGAGACATAACCGGATATATTTGCTCATGCCTAACGGGAACAATGTTATCGATCGTCACCAAATTTCGTGTTTCCCCCTAATAAGATATATCAGCATTTTTGTACATATCCCACTAAATTAAATCGGAAGGAGATAACGTTCCGTAGCACGCAAAACGCGACGTCGTTGCTCGTCGTGCGTTTTCAACTGGCGGTGCGACCTGTCGCGAATCGATTGTCTCAACAGAGATGAGTATTATTTCACTGTTTCTACGGTGAAACCTTTGAGGTTAAATTGAACTACAGGCAATACTACAGGTTGATTCGTTATTTACGTTGATCGTGCGCGAAGCAGGTGGAATTCACTGGACAAAACTGAGTCGAGAATGATCCATTTGTAGCAAAAGTCAACAACTCGTTTGACAGTATCAACAGATCAGACAGACACACACATACACACACACAAATGATTTTAAACGCGATTATGCACTAGCTCGGACCATCAACATGTCTCACCTATCGTCATTGGAATTTTCATACTCGAATGGCCGATCCATACCGCACCGCCGGTACCGTTGCTGTTAAATTCTACTTGGAAATTTGATTGCCCGCGGCCAAAATCCAAAATGTCCAAACAGTTGGAAACATTTGAAGCTTTCGTCGGCTAGATTCGCCCCGATACGAACGCGAGAATCGATAGCGTCGCGGGAATCGAGCGTCGATACGACAGTATCGCCGACTGGCCCGTGAAAAATCGATAATTTCAATTTTTTCCCCCCTCAGTGTCTCTGGTCTCGTCTCGTCTCGTTTCGCGTTCCGTTTACTACCGGAGCTATCCGATTAATCGGATTAAACGAAATGTACAGCCTGCCCTGTTTATCCAGTTCAACGAAGACAAACACGCATAATCTTCGTGAAATTACTGCTGGCCTGGCGTCGCAGCGAGAACGGCGACAGTCCGAGAGTGGTGAATCAATTTTCACCCGGCTTCGAGAAAGAACGGAAATGGGAACAAAATTCCGTTATCCAACTTTTCTCCTTGCCCTTCTTCAATTTCGTTCGAAAATGACGTAACAAATTTCGTGGCGTTCGAGATTATCTCGCCCGTCGATACGAGCGCGCGTGCAAAATGTTATTTTTGATCGGCGACCGGCGAATGAAAACGTTCGGGCAACGTCTCGCGGAATATGAAGAGGCAGACAACCGAGAGAGACCGAATCGTGTCGTCGCCGGTTCGTGCGTAACGATCATTAATTAAGTCAACGACTGTTGGCATCGCAGGGCGCCACTCGAAATTACCGTGCACACTTTCGCGGCCCGCTTGTTGGTCGCTGCAACAAGCCGAGAATACCGGCTAATTAAGATTAATAATAAACTGGGCCGTTTAAGCGGCAGTCACTTCGGCTCTCTCGTCTTTAAAAGCGTGGCGACAGTTAATTTTAGCGATCGACGGCTCGCATTGTTCCGTGTGATCAATACAGCCAGTGTAGGCATCTCTTCATTAAAGATTCCTGTACGTCGAAAAACATGCAAGTTAACGCGGGTACGGCCTACGTACGAGAACGCAAAGAACGTACCGTTAACGTTGTTTGGAATTGGTCAGGTATCGAGTCGTCGTGAAGTACTTTGGCCAAGTACAACGTACAAATCGGCGAGGATATACAATCGTGCCCACTTAAGCGTCCGTTCCTATCTTCACCAATTCTTGGAACTGAGACCATTTCCATTCTACCCGTGAAACATGAAACAAAATATATGACACTGATATTTCGACACATGATTGTTTCGGACACATATCGATCAATTAGCAAATTTAGCAAATTTTATATTAAATAAAAAATACACGTTCAATTCGTATATATTAATACGACTATAGAATCATACCACTTGCATTATTAATTTAATACCGATGAGAATGTAACAAGACCTTTATTCAAGCTTTCCATTCAGTTATTGATAATTATTTGTTAACAACTATTTTTAGAGGAATTTCAATCGATTTTCGAGAAGTTTAGATTAACAACAGTCGTTTGATCATTATTGCTTTGTTATAATTTATTGCTTTATTTAGTTTAAAAGTATGTACGTATTAAATTTAGAACAGTTTAAATGTATTCAGTTTAAACAAAATGTTGAAATGATAAATTCCTTTACGATCAAATAATGTAGTAAACAACACTGGAATTCGCCGCACGTGCCTGATATTGGTATAACAGTTGATTCATCCCCAATCTTTCTTTTGGTGCCAATTCGCGGAATACACTATCTCTTTTAACGACTGTGGATACTTAAAAGAACACTACTCTACAGAGTGAATAGAAAAAAAGGGTTGCCCTAATAAACATAAACTGAATAGTTTCATAGTTGCAAACGATTCTTCGTTTCGGTTGTGAAAAAGAAAAAAAAAAGGTTGCCCTAATAAACATAAAATAAATAATTTCATAGTTGCAAACGATTCTTCGTTTCGGTTGTGAAAAAGTTGGAACACATCTGGGAATCTTTGAAAGAGCACGTAATTCATCTTGACATCTTCTTTGATGTCGAAGATGTCAAGCGTGCACAGAAATGGAAGGAGGAGACGCAGTAAATCAGAAAAATTGATATATGATAGCTCTCGAAGCGAAGAAATTTATTTTTTCGATAAAAAAATTGTCTACAACTTTGAAACTATTAATTTCTCGACGCACTAGGATTTTTCTTCACGTTTCGACGAGTACTATCTATCCTAGAAATTACGAATCCTTTTCTCTATGCTAGACAAAAAGGACCCACGATCAGTCTTTTTATTCAGTATTGCATCCAGCATTTTTTACATAGATAAGTTCCCGTGTGAAAGTCTTTGCTCGAATAAAAGTTCTGCAAAGCTGTACAGTGTAATTTTTAATTAGACCTTTATACTGTAACAACGTTTCACGATGATTGCTCACGGCGGTTTCGTACGGTTGCAACGGGCCGGCACCGACGCTTTGGAAAGTGCTCTTCACAAAGTACAATAAAGATATCGATCGGCAATTAACGTCGCGGCTCGTCGCGATCGGAACGTTCGTTCAAAGCGTGCAATTATAATCAACGCGATTGAACGGGGAATTCCTCGTACGGTGTTTTGTGAATGAATTTCACGCAACGCGAGCAAGATTCAACTTCGCGGCACGGATCTTTCGGGCGAAGGTTGAGAAATGCAGAGCAAGCTCCTCGATACATGAAAATCGATACGATTCATTATATCCACTGCGCGTTCGAAGCAGAAAATCGCTCGGATTGTTCGATAATGAAATACAGGCACACCCTTGACCCGCATGCTCTGCGATTTGCAACACGTTGCACCTTCGATCGCGGTCGATCTCGCGGACAGCGGAAATAATTAGTTTATTTCGGTTCATCGTCCGTACGCGTTCCAGTCCTCCGTCGAGTCGAATGGAGTATTGAGAAAGAAAAGTGGCTATTATACGTTACACAGCTGGTAATTCGACAGAAATTATAGTTTGCTCATCGATCGATCCTGCCAGAAATTATGTTATCAACAAACAATTGAAACGGAGAATGAGATGATTAAATTTCATGAAAATGATTGGTTTGTTGCATATTATATTGGTCATAAATGATTGGCTTCATCGATTATAATTTATAATAGACATGTGGATTATCAATTGTATAACATTACCGATATTTTCGTTAGATAAATGTTCAAAAATTCTTAACACAATGTACCTTCACATTGTATTCAAATTATCCGAACACGTTTAACTTACAACATTACCCGCAACGTTTCTTATTTTATTATTCGCGTTTGCGTTTGAATATCATTCTTTTATCTGCATGAGAGATATGCAAAGTAACGAAGCAGAATCGTCGTTAGTCTCGACACCGCGCGCCGGTACGAATCAAATAAATTGAGAAACGTTAGGGAATTTTTGCAGGCGGTACGACACGGCCGCGACAGGTCGTCGTCGACGATAGAAATAACTTTGTTACGTTACACTCATCGTTGATCGCAATTACCCTCCGGGTCCGATCGTTTCATCGCGTTATCGAGCGTGGAAAACTCGCGTCTCTCTCGCGCGCTATCGAACGCTAATTCGAGTCACACGTGCAAATTTCGGCTCAGCCATTCACAGATCCGCTTCGAAACTCTAAATCTATCCGCGATCGTAACGCTGCTTTAAAAATACTCTCGCTACGTGTCCATTAAAATCGTCGAATTGATCAACACGTTGAGCAATTTCGATTTTCCCCAGTATTGAAATTTTGTATATTTACAGCGATTTAGTTTGAAGGAAGACTCGAATTTGTTATAAAAGCCTGTAATATATTTTTTCTCAGTCTTGTTTCCTTAACTGTCTGGTTCTACTGTACCCTAATCTGCCCAAATGTTAGATAACTAAGTCTCAGTGCTGACACTGGATCAGCGATAGTCCTTCGAAAGTGCCTTACGAACACTTATTCAAATTCCATCCACGCTTCTTTCCCCCTCCCTTCAATTTACTATAGATAGCCATTATAAAAAGAAGAGAAAAATACTCCTTTTTATCAGGAAGACCTTGTAACATTTTCCTTGACCACGATCATAACGCAGAATAAACCCTCTCGAAAGTATAAGTGTTGTTGCTTTGCGCGAAATTTAACACAAATATTTTAAATATATAGGTACAGTGGTCAAGTCTCAAGAAAATCGTCGTCTGCATATTCTCGCCGAATTGCGTTGTGCATTGTCCGAGTCGCATAACAATTGAGATATGACTCACTCTAGGAGCCACAGTCTAGATCGAGGAATACCACTCTCGTTTCTTAAGTAACGTCTTTAGGGCTTGCAGTAGTAAAACTCGGCGATATCGTTCCCCTGACAATCCGCTATGAAAGTCTTCAGAAGCGTTTCCTGGTATGCGTGTGTAAAAACCAATGCCGCGCATTCCTCAAACCGTCCAAATTGGTTCTGGCACTGTGCGTAACATCTGCCCAACATTTGGCTCGCGTTATATTTCGCAAAGGTCGTCTGCACGGACCTCGTGTTACCAACGCATCAATGAATCGTTTCTTCAACACATCGTCACTTCCTCCCCCTCTCCGCCTCCTTTTTATGTCTCTAAATTAAGTGAAGCATTCGAACGGTCGCATTATTTATTACATGTAAAGGAAAACTTTATCTTTCGGTTTATTCGAGTTTGCACAATGTTACGGGAAAGAACAGATCAGCGTTTCCCAACACTCGATTTTCAAACAATAACAAAAGATCGTTGCAACGAAAAAATTCTGTAGCGTTTGCAGAATGTTACGATGTTGAAAATTGAAAAATTGTGAGACAACAAACGAGCCGGCGCTGTTTCCTATTTTCGACGGTTACAATTAAAGGGTTACAACAATCGAAACTGATACATCGGAAATGGAAATTGTAGGAGGACATGGTGTGTCTCTCCTGCACAGCAACTGGCGAAAGGGTTTGCCTCGCAGCCGAGGGGTTTGGTAATCGACACTGTTTCCTTGAGAACATCGCAGACAAGGTAAGGCTTAAAATTAAGCGGTTACTTCACTGCGTTTGCCAGCGTGTGTTTATTCGACTATTCGCCAAAGTCGAGCCAAAGCGAATGGAGAAATTTAATATCGACCATTTTGTTTACGATTGTAGAACATACCGCCTGACCTGTCGCAATGCGTATTCGTAATAGAACAGGCTCTCTCGGTGAGAGCTCTGCAGGAATTGGTTACCGCTGCCGGTTCCGAGACGGTAACGTACTATTTCTTTATTACCCTACACCATACGAGTCCTCACGTGTCCACCGAGACAAACCGATCGTTTCTTTTCTAATTTCTTTTCGTACAATCTTCGAGACACCGTGATGTCGTTCTTTCTTCCTTTCCTTTTTTCTTTTTTCTTTTTTCTTTTTTTTTCTTTTCGTTTTCCTGTGCAGACGTTCTCGTCACGCAATTTTGTTCCCCCTGTTCGTTGGTCGCGGCTGCAACGAACAGCCGCGGCATTTTTAACGCGCACGGTACGAACAGGACTCTCCTCTGTATCGTGCGTAAATCGATCAGTCGACGTGAACGACCTCCGTACAGTGACGATCACCTGCATAGGAGTGGGCCATAAAATCCATCTGATTTCATGTATCGTATGCAGGAGAGATTAATCAATGTCATTAGCCTTACTTTTTGTAAAAAGAAACGTACCAACTAAACAGAACGATGCACTTAGAAAGTAGATTACTCGCGATTTTGCAAAGCTGTTTGTTTCTCGACAAGTTCACTTGTTGTTTGATTGACTGCGTTTTTCTTTTCTTCGTCTACTTTCCGTTCCTTTTTTTTTTTTTTTTTAACTTCTTTTTTCGTTTATTTCTCGATACAACGAACACACAGACGAACAATTTTCTGAATGCATCCGCACGTTTCCTTGTCCAACACGTAATAATTGTGGCATGCGTCCATTGTAGCCGTGTAACACGTTTCAAAATTGTCTTTCGTTTGTCCGTATTGTCTTTTGTCCCTTTATGTTTATGTCCGACTTTCTGTTGCGTCCACGCTGAAGCGTTGCAACTCATCGCAAAAACGCGAATTTCACCAAAAAAAAAAAAGAAAAAAAAGAAAAAAAAGAAAAAAAAGAAACACTGCGTGACTCAAAAATCGCAAAAAGAAAAAGAAAACCATACTTTTACCTATCGATCGACATTGTAGGCGTACTCACCAAATCTTTTCTCTCTTACTTTACTCTTTCTTTATCCACCTATCCGATTGGCAAAGCAAATAGATGAGATTTACAACACCTATGTTTCTGTTTGCAGCAGCAAGAAAATTTAGTAAGTATACTCTTCCGTATCACTCTAAGACACTCTGTTTACGTTCATGCTTGTGAGTAACGTCATTTGCTTGCATTGATCTTTACTGTCTTTCTTTTCTTTTCTCTCTCTCTCTCTCTCTCTTTCTTTTCTATTTGATTATTATTCTTTACGTTTTCTCTTTTGTTGAGACTTCGATTTCTTCTTCGTTATGTATCTGTGCATTTTATGTTCATAGCTGACACGTTATGTTGTACGTACCTGTATGCTGATCACGTGGATCTCTGTTGACTGCGTTCTTTTCTCTTTTATGTTGAATTAACACGCAATCAATTTCATGCATTTACCGTTTCCGATCACGAATACGAGCATGAAATACATGCCTGCCGTTGACATTCGTTCGTTAACAATCTCATTATTTATGGCCTTCTCTTATCGGTATGCTTGTGTACTTTCGTTTATGGTTCTTTTTTTTTTCTTCTTCTTCTTCTTCTTCTTTTTTAATCCTTCTACATGTATCTCGGCGTGTCTGCGTAATCGTTCCAGTCGCGTATGTAGAATTGTCGTTCCATAATTTTAGGGAAAGGGCACTGGATCTGGACACAGAACGTTACTGTACGGCAACGCCATTTTACTGAGGCATCAGAACAGCGACATGGTAAGTAAAATCGTACGCTGTTCGCGGGTAGACCCACGTTCAATTGCCGTTTCCACAAAATCGAATAACTGGTTGTATTTCGTTCGCAGTATTTGGCTTGTTTATCGACCAGCTCGTCCAACGACAAGTTGGCTTTCGACGTCGGTCTGCAGCAGCATTCTCAAGGTTAGCCGATGGAACGCGATCAAATTAATATATATGAACTCCTCGATATCAATTCCTGCCATGCTTATGCACGTAATATCATTGATCATTTAGGCGAGGCTTGCTGGTGGACTGTGCATCCAGCGTCGAAACAGAGGTCAGAGGGTGAGAAGGTCCGAGTCGGTGATGACCTTATTCTGGTATCTGTGGCCACCGAGAGATACTTAGTAAGCAACATGAATGAAAAGCAATCGCATTTCTACTTCACTGTCCTAATGATCTCTTCCTCAACCTGGCGATACACACGTGACACTTGTGTAAAATGTTTGCCAACAACTAGTAGAAAGTTACATTTGCTGTTACATTATTATCATTATCCGTATGCAATAATACAATGTAACATTTGTTATATTATTATTATCGTTATTATTGTTCGAATACATTTTATGCTCCTTTATAAAAATATTCATTTTAGAGAGTTCAACAAACGATATTTATAGCTGGATAAATTATAATCTAATTATCCGGTCAGTCAATCCGTTGGATCTCCACGTGTGTGTGTTACTGGGTTAAAAAAAAAAAAAGAAATACATTTTGCTGTACGCGTTAAAATACATTTTAAATTTCTCTTACATTTTCTCTAGCACACAACAAAAGAAAACGACCTGTCAGTGGTTAACGCCTCGTTTCACGTAACCCACTGGTCGGTGCAACCTTACGGCACTGGAATTAGCCGGATGAAGTACGTCGGTTACGTATTTGGCGGTGACGTTCTACGATTCTTCCACGGCGGCGACGAGTGCCTCACGATACCGTCGACATGGGGCACGTCACCGAGTCAGAAGTAAATGTCAAAAGATTCGACCCTTTTCAACACTCTCTCTAGACTTGTCAGACTGCGCTAGTTCTATTTTTTTCTTCAAACTATTTTTTTTCAACTCATCCCTTTAAACTTTCATTTCATTTCATGTCAAAAAGTCAGCCGCCAGTCGTAGGTAATTTTCAAAATCCAGGAATTCAGGGATAATTCGATTAGAGCGGCTGAAGTAGTGTACGGCTTCGCATAGCGGTAAATATATCGTTTTACAGTATAGTGATCTACGAGGGTGGCAGCGTGATGAGCCAGGCGCGATCTCTATGGAGGCTGGAGCTGGCGAGAACGAAATGGGCCGGTGGTTTCATCAATTGGTTGCACCCGATGAGGATCAGACACTTGACAACCGGACGTTACCTTGGCGTGAAGGAAAACAACGAACTATACCTGGTCGATAGGTGAGCATTTATTATTGGAAAAGTTCAAGGGTCACGTCGAATGTCGCGCCGATAATCGCCGACGATTACGCCGCTGCGTTTTAAAGGAACGAGGCGACCATCGAAACCTCGACGTTTTGGCTGAGGCAAGAGAAGGATGACCAGAAGATCGTCCTCGAGGACAAGGACCTCGAAGTTATCGGCACACCGATCATCAAGTATGGCGACTCGACCGTCATCATGCAACACGCCACTACTTGCCTCTGGGTCTCGTACAAGGTACAGTATTCTTTCCTCGAGTGAACGAGGACATTGGCGTTTGACATTGGCTCTGACTCGTGTCGCAGTCGTACGAGACGAAGAAAAAGGGCGTGGGTAAAGTGGAGGAGAAGCAAGCCGTCCTTCACGAAGAGGGGAAGATGGACGACGGTTTGGACTTCTCTCGGTCTCAAGAGGAGGAGTCGCGAACGGCCCGTGTGATCCGAAAGTGCAGCAGTCTGTTCACCCAGTTCATCACGTGAGTATCTATCGGCTCCGGACTTTGACACCGTGATCTCTCCTGCATTTTTTTTTTTTTTTTTTTTTTTTTTTT